TTGTTTGATATTTCAAAAAACCAACCACTCAGCGACTGCTTTCCAAATTTATTATAAAAAAAAACTTAAAGGTCGAACGTGGCTTGTATCGTCACATTATTCTCGTGAGAATGATCTATCATGATTATCATTTTCACCAACATCTAGACTCTTCAAACTTTTTTTCTCCTCAATCATTCGCTAAAAATTAAAAAAAATTAATATTACTTTATGTAATACTACTTAAATCTTATAATACTTTATAATACTTACCAAATATTTATTTACTAAATCCATAATTGATTCATCAATTATTATATGTTCAATTGCCAGATTTAATATAATATAGCAAATACTAATTGTGAATGCAACATGTAGCATAGTGCATTATTATAGTCATTCCAAACCTTTTCTAAAATCTGAGAGATATACGAGTCTTTTATATCATCACTTATACATCAGGAATATTTTTAATGCGAAGTATTGCATAAGATTTACAGTTCGTAAATTTATGGATGTATTATGGCATAAGTTTATGTAAAATTTACATTTTTGATGTAGTTTTTCATAAGATTTACAATCTGTGACATTTACGCTATATTACAATTAAAATACTTCGAATGATTTATGGTCTATAAAGTTTGCATAATACTACAATCGAACATTCTTATACATTGTGATGTATCACTATCACTATTCTGATCGAAAAATAAAGTTTCTAAATTTATTTTAAGAATAAAATTCGCATACGTATGACATATGACTTTACCTTAAATAATTTAATACAGAATAATATAATTACAAACTTAAAATTTTTTCATGATAAAAAACAATAAAATAATAAAATGTAAGTCTGCATGCTACTCCGTAAGTATTAAGTTTTTTTTTCTTTTTTTCCTTATATTTTTATATGCAGATTATTTTATGTGCAGAATATTTTATTATTATTAAATTATTAAAATATTAAAAATGATGTCTTTATTATACATGAAGTTGAAATAGATCATTTTAGATATTCGAAATGGTTGAAATGGTTGAAATCATTTTGACTATTGAAAGTAAAAGTCAAAATGGTCAAAATGATGTCATATCACATGATTTTTTATATATAGAAAAACAAAAAAATTAAGATATACAATCTCAGTCAATATTGCTCTGATTTGTATGAAATAACTACCATTTGATTTCCCGTGACTAGACGAATCCAATGAGCTAACATTCATTAATTTCGGATTATCCAATCTCGAAATAATCGCAATTGTATTATCAGCTGAAATTATGAATCAATAAATTCTACTTTAAATAAAAGAGTATGGATTTCGAAATACAATCGCAAATATCTCGAGATGGGCTGATCCAAAATCAATGAATATTAGCTCGTTAGATTCGTCTAGTCGCGAGGAATTGAATGGTAGTTGTTTTATACAAATCAGAGCAATATTGACCGAGATCGTACATCATTTATTTTTTTATTTTTTTTAATATATAAAAAAATCATGTGATATAACGTAATTTTAACTATTTCAACTTTTCATTTTGATCTTTGGGTTTTCATTTCTACTTCATGTATAGTCTTTATTAATATCTCGCTAGTCACAGCAAAATTTGAAATTGGTGAAATAATATATGATTTAATTTATTATTCAAACTTTATATTTGACACTTGATTAAGAAATTGAATGACAATTAAAGAAAGAAATAAAGATAAGAAATTGTTTGCTTCTTTCCAAATTAAGAATAAATAGAACATATTTTATCAAACATATATTATGCAAACATGTGTATTATTTACATTTGAAACGAAATGTATTTTTAAAGTTTTATCATGTAATTGTTATAACATAATAAAATAAATTATTTATTATACATATTACCTTCTTAACATAACGTATTTGATCTTGTATTTTAATTATTATAAATTATTCTTAAATAATAAAATTTTGTTATTTTGAAAAATATCTATAAATACGAGAAGTATTTCTCAATCTCTACTAATTATATACACAACAAAAACTATATCAACACATAAACTCTATTAACTACATCAAAACATATAATTCTTTTAATTCAAAATTTAAAATGCCAAAAATCACAAAATTTGTTACAAAAACTAGAATAATCTTCAGTAATTTGGTCTCAAAAAGTAAAAGGCATAATGATGAAACTGAATCTACCACTTCATAACACTGATCGAAATCAAAAAAATCAGCCATATAATAAATAAATCGGCTTAAAATCAGCCTAAAATCAGATATCATCAAAAATCAGCCAGAATCAAGCTATTCAATTTATAGCCGATTTGGTATATATCAAGAATTGACCAAAATTTGCCCGTCTGATTTCTAGCCGATTGATATATATCAAAATTAGCCAAAATTCAACCTATGCCGATTGGAATACATTAAAAATCAGTCAAAATTCAACCATCTGATTTATAGCCGATAGGAATACGAATTGGCCAAACTTCAACATATTTTATTTATAGCCGATTGGAATAATCAGATTCATTTGATAAATTTGGACACTACTAATTTTATCAATGAAAAAATAAAATTCAAAGAAAATTGCATTTATAGATGTTATTTTCTATTAATGGGATTGATGGCCAAATATTCTTTTGCATTTCATCGGGTTGAAATTTGATAGTTTACTGGCACAAATCGACCCAAAATATGATAAACCAGTATAATACAATTATGACTTTCTGGGTAAAAATCAGTATCCCATAATTAGACATTACATGTTTCTTCATTATCGCAAAAATAGTATCGAATATTTAGAGAATCTGCAGGTTGATACCAGCGAATGTATGCTAGAAAATGTTCAGCTGATCTAGGCAGCAAATCGACTATATGAGTAAAATAGTATTAAACTTGACTTGGGTAACAATCGACTATGCCGTCATTTGTAATAAATTTGGCCAAAATGTATGAACTTTTCACATATCGCAATGACATCGATGAACCAAAGATTTCAGAACCAATTTGGCACCTTCCGAATTGGTTTATTTTGACCTGAATTGTTATAGCATTTTCTGAATCCTTATCGAATGGCTTCTGAAATTCTAACATGCTATAAGTCGTCATGTAATATTCAACCATCAAATCAAGCATTTCACTTGAAAGAATTATATTATTAGATGATAGTTTAAGGAATTTGCCGGGGAATGTTTCATTACCAGAAATATTTGATTCCCTAATGTTTTGTGAATTCATCCAAAATCGGTAGATTTCATCAGTAGAAAATTGGTCTGTATCTGATAGAGAACCTATAGAAGGATGGTTGTCTAGCAATTCAAGCTCTTTTACTTCAATGCTACCAAGACTTATAATACTATCGATTTGACTATCAAACATTAATCGACACATTAGCTCAGGTTCGATTTTTCTATTACTATTTGGCAAAGAACCTGAAAATTGTAAAAAAATGTTAATTATTAGATATGTAATGATTTATTAGATAATAATAATGAATTACCTAATATTCTATTTGTGCGTTCAAAAGAAAAACATCAGAATGTATATAACGACCCATAATCTATTGAGTATTCATTCAAATGGAGAGAAAGGTAGAGATTCAGCGTAATTTTGTTATGACCATGATTTTTTCTATCAACTTTATTATTCTAATTAATCTTCTATGAGCTTCATGCAATAGATTTGATTCCACAATCCAGTTTACTAAAATTATACAAATTCTCACGAAATTTGTAAGAATTTTTCTATCTACAATCAGAAGATGTTCCCAAAGTAAAACAGTAGCATATATAGTAAAGAATATTTGCCACTAATCAGCTGTGAAATTAGAAAATCCTCTCCTTCATGAATTTTACCCAGAATTCGATCTAAATCGGATAGAATCTGAAACTCATTCATTTTTTTCTGAATCTTGTTCAAGGAATTTGATATTAAAATCCCCTCATCGATTCAGATCCGTTTACTATCCATTGTGCAATACCTAAAACAAGCAATGCATTGGATCGATTATAATAAATTTTATAGGATCAAAATATGGTAAACGTAATAATTTGGACCATCTTACACTATTTTGTTTTACAAATCACTTTTGTGAAGTGTCTGAATTGCAATATCTCCATTCTAAAGCATTCTGGTGATGTTTAATTGGATCTCGCATAAAGAACCAATGATCAAAATTATCCATTCCTGTAAAATTATGCTGCTGATTTTCATAATTTGCCTTTTTTTTACATCTATGACATGCCACTAATGCTGAAACATGACCACAAATTTTTCTTGCCACAGGAATATCACATAAAACTAGGATTAATGCTGCACGAATCCTTTTACCATTTTTACATTTATTTGTTTGATTTATTGTTATTCCATTCCAAAGAGATTCCAATTCATCCAATTCATCAATGATTGATGCTAGATAGTGATTAATTTTATGTAAACTGACTTCGTTTGGCTCAGGTAAAAGACTGAGAATCAGTAAATTTTCACGTTTGAATCGTATATCATGAAGCAAATTGCATATAACAGCATATATTATCCAATGCTATAAACAGTATCATCATATGGCTGGAACCAGTCAAGATTCAGCATTAATCCAAGGTGAGAATTGACCACTTCATCTTGAAAAAATTTTGGTGAATCATTCTCAGAAGATTCTTTTAACGTCTGCCATACTTGACCATCATATATGTCAGTTATAATGTTGTCAAAATGCTGATGATTCACTTAATGTCTCAAATTAATTTCAAAATGAGACTGACGATACATGAAAGCAAGTTGTTATTGTATTCCACAAAAAGGAAAGATTAAATTAGGTTGAATTACTGTTTGATTTGTCGATATGGCAATTTTTTGAGATAATAGTATATTATAAAAGCGCAATTTGCGAATTGACGAATTGGAAAATTCTACATGTCGACATTTCATTATAGATAACATATTATCTTATCTAAAATTTACCACTTCCCGTTTTTGGTACAGTTTATGACATTTGGAGCAAGAAACGAAATGTTGAAATCTGTCTTTTATTCCAAGCGCCTTCTTTGTTAAGAACATTGAATTTGGAAAGTCATTGAAATCATCACCTCCGATTTCTGTCAAAACCAATTTCATAAATTTTATCAAAGCCTCAGTTGCAAACTCTGTAATGTTGAATCTTGTCCAAAATGACATAATCCAAATTAATATCCACAAAAATCGGTCATCATCAATTGATTCTGTACTTGGTGGATCTCGAAATGGTTCATAATCCAGTGATGCATAATCCTCAAATATTTCAAAATTACCATTATCATCAGATTCACTTGTAACTTCATCTTCTTCAGTAGTAAATTCAGAAGATTCTAAAGGTTGATTAGCTTTGATTTCAGAATCATTAGAAGGATTTATACTGGATTTAGGATAATTTGTGTACTTTCTTACACGTCTTCAGGTAAGAAAGTAGAATCAAAATCCTCTTGATATTCATCATCAGATTTATGTTCAATATTCTGCCTAGATGTTGATGGTTCTCCAGTTTCTTCTTGAATTTCAAATTGATAAAATGTATCTGAAATAGAACTTTGTGAATCTTGAAATCTACTTCTTGTATTACGAGATGTTAATGGTCTTGAAGTAGAGATAGATTTTTCATCAATTAAACTAGCAATCAATCTATTTCTTTTTTTACGAGAAGATGTATTAGAAGTTTGACTTGATGACAATTCCTCATAATCATTATCAAGTATGCTAGAAATCGACCTTTTTCTACTTATTATTTGATTTTATATTTGAGAGAATTAAGAAAATCAAAGTTCGAAATATAGTAATTTATTAAGACGATTTTTTTG